ATGCTCAACCGAAAATTATAAATGCTCTTTTTTTCTTTTCTTTACGAAGACATACGCAGTTCGGTACGCGAATAAAGCAAATGTGTTTACTTGTCAATATGCTATGTCTTGATTATAACAGCAAAACGAACCGGGGAAAACGGTCTTTGTATTCACAAAACTTAATGAAATACCCTTAAAGAAGCGGTTTACGATAACTGCCCAGGCTACAAAATAAAAGGATTGATATGTTGCATAGTCAAAGGGGAGAACACCAGTACAACAAAAATAAGAAGTTTTAATACCACTACTTAAATGCAAAAATAACATATATATCTCAAGCTGTTCTTATTTTACACGCGTAAATCTCATATACGTAGACCTTCTCTTCCCGGCACTTCTCAGTTTTTGAAATAAATCGTAATTCTAACAGGAGTTCAGATTTAGCGCACTGGAGCCCTGAAACACAGTTTCAGCAGACATATTTTATTTTAATAATAAATATGCCTTAAAAATCGATTAAAACTTCTGAATGTATGCCTGTCTTTTCTCTGGGCAACAAACCCTTTGACGGAGGTTGAGATTTATACGAAAAAAAAAAAGCCCCTACACGCACTTCAGAGGCTTATTCTCCAGGTTGTGCAATGAAATTATGAGAGCGAATAAATTTTTTCAATCCCGAAAGTAGTAAAAGTAATAAATTACTTTGGTTATGCACGTCCAGCGATAGAGGCCTTCCACTGCACAGCTCCTGCAGACTTTTGAACGATGCGGGTAGGGGGCGAAAATTACCACTTGTGGAAACGTTACGTTTATTCTCATGTAGTTTATCGGATCTATGGAGGTAGGAAGAACGATTGGGGGGGGGCGAAAATTGTCACTTGTGGAAATGTTACTTTATTCTCATGTAATTATCGGACCGGATTCGGGGGGAAAATTTTTTCCCCCAGTCGCATCCTGCTTGACAGCTAGAATTATACCGACGGCACATCGTGGGCAGTTTTCGAAGCTACACTACTCTTTTAAAATTTCTTTTCACATTCTCATATTGTTTTTAACATTCTCTTCATTCTCATTAGTGATGCTTTAATCGTTTTATTTATTTATTTATTTATTTATTTATTTATTTTTTTCCCACTAACGTGCAAGAAAGAGAATGGTTTGTGTTCCTCTCATTCCTTGAAATAATAAATTGTATTTATATTCAGGACTTGAATTCAGTCGGAAGCCCGGCTGAACTATTTCTTAGTTTTTGAATGAAACTGTAAGTTCAGCCGGAGTTCCAAATAAGACGAGGTCCGATATTTTATTTCTTTTATTTAACTATTTATCATGGATTAAATTTATTAAATTTTTATTTACATCTTTATATTTTATTTAATTTGAATTTAAATGTAATATTTAATCATTAGTTATTTTATTTATTTATTTTTTCCCTTCTTCTTGACGGCCTTTCGTAGGGCTCCGACACTTCTGGCTTTAGGAATTCAGCTCTGCATTGCTTATGCAATATTTCTCTACAGCGCCAAACAACATACACACAAAATATACTTCCAGAACCATCAATGACCACCTTTAGCAAGCAGTTAGTCGAACACATAGGCAGATGGTGGAATCATTCTGAAAGCTCTCGCATTCTGCAACATTTTGGTGATTAATGTGTTGTTACGTCACGTCAGTCTTTACTGATTAAACCAAGTTTCCGCAAATTCGCGGGTGGTACCATCTTTCCGTGTTTTGATGCCCTTAGTAGAAAAAGGTTTATCACGATTTCTTTCGACCGTGAAACCAGTATATTCGAGGAAAAAAAAAAAAAAAAAAAAAAAAAGAATAAAGTGACTAAGCACGAAAATGACAAAGCACGAAAAACGAATGTAGAGTTCTAATTCTGCATCGCGAGTAACAGGAATCAAATTATTGTGGTGAAGTTAAAAACAGTTCCCAGAAGCGAGAAAAGCTCCATAATTTCCGCAGTTATGTTTATGAATTTTTCTCGAACATCCATTATCTACAAGGATCTTCATTTAGAATTTTTAAAAAATATGACACTAATGAATAGTATCAAACCTTGAATTGCAGCAGTTTTAAGAAAAAATGAAAGCTTTTGTAGAATGTCCTGATATTCCTTGACAAGGGTGTCTTACAAATCTACCCTAAGTTGACAATATCATAATCGAAAACGTGTTCTTAAGTTTAACCTAACAAACATAATAGCCTATCTGGAACGTTTTCAGAATGCTCAAAACGACTTAAATTAATCTACAATAGGGAAAATAAGTTAACAGTAAACTTATTTCATAATTAAGTCTCGAATGTCTCACTTACAGAATATTTTTTTAAAGTGAAAAAGAATCATTACAGAATATTTTTTAAGTGAGAAAGAATCTGGCAAAATTGTCAGGATGTCACCGTTTAATACAAACTTCGTAATCTTTAGCATAGAGCTTAACTGCTGGATGATAAGTATGCTGCCCTGACAAGATCGATATAGGTATCTCTTCTAAAGGTTCGACAGTAATTAAAAGTACTGCTGGGGTATTGACATTTATAGGGGAATTAGCAAGCACACCGTTCTTCGAGAAATATGTTTGACAAATACTTGAGGCAGATGTAGCTTTCTAGTAGCTATCTCTAGCTCAATATATTTCAAAAGTGAAACTGAACCGTTCTGCCACTACCAAGATCAGCCATTCTTATCTTATCGATGTTATTACCATCAAGTCATACCATCATACTTGATGGTGATAAAAATAAAACACTGACACAATAAACACATGTTTTACATTTAATAAAACCCGAAATTTAAAAAAAGTTCAAACTGTTCGAGATCCTAAAATAAAACTGTAGACATTCCATAATTTTTTTTTAATTAAATACGTGTTAATAGCAAAAAATACAAATATTTTATTATAAGACTGTATTATTACTATGCATAATAAAAACAAATCTGAATTTTAGTATTTGAGGTAACTGAGGTAACGTTACAATTATAGATAAATATAATTAATGTATTTAAAATAAACAAAATATATATTTACATATTATTTTATAAATTTTTATCAATAAAAGTATCTTTTTCTCATTTTCATTATTTTATAAGAAAGCTATTCAGCTACTCATAACGTTAAGTGATAACCCCCTAAAATACAGCTTATTTAATTTATGCATAAATGTAGCCTTAGTATTATGTATACTTGTGCATAATACCAAGGCTACCTTGTGCATAAATGTAGCCTTGGATACTACAATTCTACACTACTAACAGTTTTACCGACAAACAGTAAAAAGAGTTCATGAAATTTTCTTTTGTACGTAGGCTACTACAAATAGTTATTATCATTTCAAAGTGTAATTAATACCGGATAAAGTGAACTTTTTTAAATGTCTAATTCATGCTTCTGCATATTATTTTACACATATTTTGCAGAAGCTAAAAGTAAATAAGTAAATAAATAAAAGAAATTGTCCATCTGGAAAAAGCCTTTGAACCTCTTCCAGAAAGATCAGAATGAAGACATACCAGCTGAAAAGTTCCTTTAAGCAAATACAAATTTGCATCTACAACAGAATTCAAGTTAAAAAATAATCGCAAAAGAAAATTTCTTTCTAAGGAATCAGAAAGTGCAATCCAGTTTCTCCCACTTAAAATTTTTTTCCACTTTAACTGTCTATCCACATGATTCTAAAAGCACACATTTTATGAAATTTTACACAAGTTTTTAAAGATATGAACAAAAAATTCTTTTCTAAACTTCTATTTCCATCGAAAAGAAAAATTCCAAGAAAACTTTCTCTATGGGTTGCTTCTATTTGTTTATTCAAACGCAGCTGCTTCAATATATAATTTCGAATGTTTTGAATCGAATGCATTATTTTTGCTGCAGTTAAGTTACTGATAGACAATTATTATTACTTAATTAAAAGATTATTGTTTCAAAAACACTGAATTTCATAGAAGGTTATTCCAAACGGCTGAATTCGCCAGCAGGAAATATGCGCGGGAATGATGAAAATGTTACGCAGGATGAAGAGAATTTGGAGAAGTGGAGTATTATATACATTTTTTAAAAATTTCAGAGGGAGGGGTCTGAAATTTTTATTCATATGAATGGCCACATCATGCAAACGACTTTGTAAGATGGGGTAACATGCGTCAGAGAACAAAGAGAAGAAAGGAAATTTAGTAAGGCTTTCTTTACAAACCCTAAATGCCTAGTCCATATTTCTAACATTTATTGACAATCTTCTTGAAACTGTCCTTAAATGCATTAGAGAAACTGAATTATTATATGTTTTTTAATTGAATCGTTATATATATATGTTTTAAAATGGCCGGGTGCTTTATTTAATAGCTATGAAGGGACGGACATTTACAACAATGCTTTCTGTAGGATTCGAACCCGGAAACATTGCTACGGCAGTCAAGGTCACTAACCACCACACCGGCTGGGCAGCTAAATCATTATACGTGAATTTAAGAAAATCATTTTACAATCAGTGTTGGGTTTCTTTTTTAGTCCTTTCCTTAACTCATTACAAGTATTTGCATTTAAATATGATGACTATTTTTCTCCTTATATTAATGCTTTCGTTACCTTTTGTGTGTGTGTTACACAGTATGTTCTAGTTTTTTATGTAGTGCAGATTTAATAAAATGTGATTTCACACCCCCCTTAAGAGTATTTTTTACGGGTGGTGGAAAAAAGGTGTCTCAGTGGTTCTTTTTATACATCTCAGAGGGCCACAGATTTGCTGGTACATATATGACCTGTTGGGGGAAAGAAAGTTAAACAACAATTACTAGACCATCGCTTTCAAAAAGTTTTACGAAATTTTTAACTAACATACAGAAGTTCCAAGCCCCACGGCGTTTGAAAAGTTTCATACAGGACTTCTACAATTTAGAACTGTACAAATTATTTTCATACTAAATACATCCTCAAATCAGTACTGAATAAGGATCACGTGTTAATTTTAGAAGCGTTTGTATTATGACAGTATTAATAAGCTATATTTCTTACCTGCCTTAAGAGAATTCTTACAGTTAACGAAAAAATATTGGGATTCAGTTTCTATAAGAAAATCACAACATCCAACAGTAAGAAAACGCTCCAAACTGAATAACCACAAAGATTTCCTTCAAAAATACTCAGATGAGAGCTCCCCATATGAACTTCGACTTCAGAATATAAAACGGTCCTTGACCGTAAGCCGTGATGATTCGGAGATTTCTCTTCCAATTAATAAAAGATAGAAACAATTCACATCTTCGGCCGGAAACTTAACACCTCAGAGAACAAAGCAACTGAAAAAACTATCCCTCATTCTCCCAATGGATTGTTATTTTATAATCTAAGATGCGTAGCGACGTGCACCACGTGATGAAGTTGATATGATGCAGTGTAATCAGTAAAGCGAGCAACCTACACTTCCTTACTGGGAAAGAATTTACGGTTACCACATTCCATCCGGCGAATTTTGTTCCTCGGCGAAGCTCCAGTGATTAACTTGTATGCAGATGATGAAGCATAAATAAAAGACCGCATTCATGCACATTGTTTTGATCAGATTAACTTTTTGAATGCAGATTCGAACACAGCTGCGTTTAGAATACAATGAACGACGTATAGTTATATTGAAGGAAGCTCTACCTTTCGAAACAGATACAAGAAAAGCAATGATTGGAAAACAAACGTGATTTGAAATTTTATTAACAAGAACAAAAGAAAGGGTTAAATCAACAATAAATAAATAAATAATTTTTTTATTTTAAATTTAAAAAATGGCAATTTGAGTACTTCAGATTATAGTATAGCATTTCAAAGATAAGTTTCACATGAAAAACTTAAAATATATATATATATATTTGTAATAATAAAATTCCATAGTCAAGAATACACTTAAAATTCTAACTGTATGTTCTTTTAATTTTCAATGGCGACGTTCTCTTATTTGAAAGTACGTGGAATTCAATCCACAGCCCCGTAGTCAAGTTGTTTTTCCCGCCTTTTCTACACGTACAGTTATAGAATGTTCTGGAAATATTTTAAAGCGAACTGGATTGGCTGACGAGGCTGACGTCATTTCTTGGAAGCTCCGCCTTTCCAGAGGCTATAAAAGGACTCGCAAAAGGAATATCGGGGCTTTTTTCTTAAATGTCACGATGCAGTAAACTTCATACAAAAAGTTATTAGTAATTCTTTTTATTTACTCCGGATATCTGATTTTTGTAACTGCTATTTCTCCTGAAATAATAATAAATGGATCCTGTTTTTTTAAACTTATCGTCTGATTATTTAAGCTACGACTAAAGCTGGTACATCACATATATATATAAATATTTAATACCAAAAAGCATACATGTACTTAAATATTTGTAAATCAAAATTATAACTTTGATTTGGAATGATACCTTAACTCTCCATTTTAATTTGGTTATTTTCCCGTTCCATAACTGCTTATTATATTTTCCTCTAAACTGCGTTATTTCAAAACTGATCTTTCTCACATGATTCTTACTTAGCAAGTCAGCCAATAATAACTTCAAATTTCGGAACCAAAACTTAATTAACCAATCAAAATGAACCTGAACCAAAACTAAATCATTCTGAACTGGGTTTTCACCTTAGATTCATCGCATTCACTCTTACTTCTTTTATGCCAACTCGCTTTCCGCTTGCTGCTCTTTTCTAAGACGTAGAAAATACAAAAATATGATCAAGAATGGGTGCGAACACTGCGCCCATTACGTTGTTAATTTACATTCAGAATGTGCTTCTTAAGAATAAAAAAGTGTTAACTCGGCCACTATGACTGTTATGTTTTATTTTTTATCTGTCTCTCTCTCCGTATACATGTTCCGCTTCTCTGTTGCGTCAACTATATCTAATTATTAAACACACACATTTTTAAGGAATTATGGCATCCCCCACTGGTGTGCTCTAAATGCTAATACGTTCAGCAAGCGAAGACACAACTGATTTTTCCGTTTTTCGAATCTTATACTTTCTACATTGTCACATGCCTTCATTTCCCATTTATTTATGTTCGCTTCATATTCAATATTTTTTATTCATGAATGTACGTATTTGCTTTTGCTTTACCAGTTAAAAAAATTACGCTAATCTTAAACTTATTCCTAATATGTTACATGACTTTCATGTTTTCACACCTCTTTAATTTAATTCTGCTTTCGAACCCATGATCACGTACCGACTATGGAAAAACCGCAGCTTCTTCCAATTCTGATGTCATAGATAACTTTGACGTCACGATGCGGATGTCGGCTGATGCGTCTTTTTTCCCACATCATGATTTCTAGTCGCCGTTGTCTTCCTACTTCAATTTTTTCCCCTGTCCATGCCCCTTTACAGTGAATAAAAAACAATAGTACTCAAAATAATAATAATAATAATTTCAATAATTTTGTACTAATAGAACAATTAAAATGCTCTGTTGTTTCAAATGCTGCATGTCAATGACAGCGAACTTCAAAATTAATAAATACTGTAACACGGATTATGACCCATTTGCTCCTAATACAAATTTTGGCTATGTAATAATTTCTTTCTACATAATGTAAATATATACATATATTTTCTTATTTTTCTCTAATAATCAGGTTTTGTTATGGTTCCCAAACCTTTGAGTCGTAATTCAGTAATGGGTGGGGTGACAATTTATTTGGGAAACCGTGAAAAAATGTAAAGGTTCATTTTTTTCTATATGAGTACATATATTTATTTAAAATTACTTAATTTATAATTAGTAATTGGTTGCTAACATTTATTCCATATATTTACTGATTATCATTTATTATTAGATAACGTTCTGCTAGAATTCTCACTGTCCCCAACTTCTTCAAAGAATATTATTTGTGGATCACGATGATCTCCAACTAAGTACAACATAATAGTGATGTTAAAATGCTTAGAAAATATTGATCTATGTGATGAACGTGTTATTTATTATTTTATAAGGTATACGTTTTTCAGCATGTTAAAATATTAATTAGATGTGGTGGTACTCATTGAATCAGTTGATGATATTTCAGTAATTGAACCATTTGAAGATATTTGGCCAAAACAATTTAGTATTCAAATGAATGTTTTTATCTTGTTTAATTTAATTAAATTGATCTCAAAAGCTAATTTTTAATTAGCTTGAGAACTTTATGCACTATACATTCAGTAACGAAATGTATTTAGTATTAAAAGATATCGAAAGTGGTTTAAAATTTGTTGTCATTAAAATTCGTAAATTAGGATGGAAGCACACTTATTTTCAGGCAATAAAAAATCTTAAAATTTGAAAAACCTGAAAATTCATGTAAGATTCGCGTGAGATAATGCACATTCAGTGGAGATAAAAAACATCAATAGCCAATTTAAATTAAAATTAGGAATGTAGGTTTTCTAACAAAAGAAGAACAATTCTGAATTCAGTACTGAGAGCAAATAGTTTAATCTGAAGAACCCTACGAAATTTTACTTTTGTTTATCTGATGATTCAGATTTTTAATAAGAAATGCTGTCAGTGATAACAAACTGTACAATCCTAATCTGTCTATCCACCACCTTTACCATTCAATTATTCGCCATTAATCTGCCTACAAACCATTACCATTAACACATTGTTTATCACCATATAAAATGAAAGCTATTATCCGGCTGACAGTAAAAATTTTAATAAAATTGAGTTTTATCAAATGAAAGATGATAACAGCTAGCTTTCTCTCAAAACATTAAACAGCAAAGTCTTTATTGAGTAAGCCCCACTTCAGGCTTTCCGAGATGAGATCGTCCCATTTGAGCCTCTATCGCTGGGATAAGTAAGAAGAGTTCCCATATCAGCCTCACCATTCAAAGTTAACACAAAACCAAAAAAAAAAAAAAAAAAAAAACACGATCCAAGGTCCCTTACTAATTTTTTAAAAATATACGTCTCATCCTGGAGGAGAATGCTGAATCATATATAGAGAAAAGAAATTTTTAAGACCACCTACCAAAGAGATTTACTGTAAAGTATTCAAACAGAGGATATGTTCTCATTTTCCACCTGAAATTCTTTTCAATCCACTTTAAATAGTTAGTGGACCTTCCTACATGTTAGGGTTTTCTTGTTTCACGCACAATTTAATTCGCAATTTTTAAAACATATGATTTTAATATATTTCTGAATCCATAGCAAAACAACACGAAGATGTTCTTGCTACTAATCATTCGATGGCTAAGATGCAGAACAGATTTAACGTACAAGTGAAGGAACGCTCTGGAATGCACACAATACACTTATAAGCTAGCAGTATTTTTTTTTTTTTAAGAAAAATGTTTGAAATTTTTTAGTTATGCGAGCTACATACATATACATGTACGTACAGACGGCACGAAAAATCCATTTTAAATCCATTGAACAATCTGTTTTGGAATAAAGATAGTCCTTTATTCTGTTTATATGTACAGATATCACAAAAAAAATGACATAATGGATTCGGGAAAATTCAAAATAGATATTTCCGTTGAAATCTTATAACGGAAATTTTTCGCGATTACAATACTTCCTTTTCGTACAAGTAATAAACATATGGAACTTTTTTATTCTTCGAACCATAAGATCAATAATCATTTTCATACCTAATGAACAGCTAAGAAACATTCCCAGAACAATTGTGAGATCTGATTTTTCATAGTTCATGTTAACAGATTTGGATTCCCTAAATAATTTTCACCCACCATCACATTAATGTTTAATTTAGTGTGAGTTCCCTCTCATTTTTTACCCAAAACAAGAGCCCTATAGACTCTACTACTGGCATGCCTCTGGCAGAACACTGATCTCCACAATGAGAACTTATTCTGATAATTGTAACTATTCAATCGAGAGAAGGTCACGAAGCCCAGCCTCTTGGGCGTGACACCACTAAATTCAGATATTAGCTGTTTTTTCTAAAGAATCCATTGCATATTAATGATATTTTTTGTGCATTACCTCCAGAGGCGTGCATTACCAGCGGCGGATTCATGGATTAGCACAAATTTCAATCACGAGATATTCCGCATTTCAAGACGCCTGAAATCATGAATTAATTTTTAAAAAAATAATGAACCTACACCGAGTCCTAATTGGAGGGCTTCCAAAAGTTCGAGTATCATGGGCTCACCAATTCATAAGCCCGTCATTGCCTATTTATTTTTGTTTTTAACTCTGAATCCATATTATTTGCAAGTATATGATATAAAATGGCAGCCCAATT